TGATACAGTACTAAGGGAAACATCCCTTCCTCTGTGAAAAAAATCACAATGAAACAAAGTAAAATTATCTTGGCAGAAGTCCCAGAATTAAAAAAGTAACTTTTTTGATCTGATGAAACACATACCGAACTGCAGTAAATTCAAGCCATCTCTCAATGCAATCCTACAGCTAATACAGAAAAACAGAAAAGAAAGTACTGACAGCTTTTCAAAGTTTCTAAAAAGAATGTTAATTTCAAGTAGTCTCAATGACAGCATATTAAGTGAAAAAGATTTTGTTAATACACCTTGTAGTTACAAACAGTTTGTATTTGTGTTTTTCCTCTTTTGCTCAAAATTCTGACAATCCTGGTATTAGCTTTGCTCATCCTTCTATAGTTCTGTCTATCCATATAGCTCCTGTTTTCTTTGTACACTTAAAATTCAGATGCCACCAGAATTCATTTAAAGTGCTTTAGAACTCCTTTATTTTCACATTTATTCTCTTTGTTATCATGAACACCACTGAAAGTCATGGCAAAAGCTGCCACTTATTTCAAAAGGTGTACTATCACACTGTAAAATCACTACCAAACAGGAAAAGGCGAGAGAGACTGTACTGTTTTCTCCTTTCTACCATATTCGTAGGAATATATTAAAGCTTGCTAGAAAGTCCAAAGTCCATAAATAGTTGCTGCTGGAAGGACAAAACTTACTGTTCAGTACATTCTCCAGTTTTTGCGTCATGGATCCTTCTACTTTTTCCGTTCCATCCGCTTCCAGTTTTTGATGGATTGCTGGAATAAAGTGTCAAGTTAAAATGCAGAACATTTTAATAGGTGGGCATACATTACATCAGTGACACTTTTAAACATTTTAAAAATTAAAAATAAAGTGTTATTTTTCTTGTTAGACATAAAAAAATACAAACATGCTTCATGGCAGCAGAGCCTAGTGGAGGACAGGGCTTAGAGCCAGACATTGCAGAATTTTAACCATTACCTTGACACAGACTTCCTGTATCTTCTCGAACAAGACATTAATGCCCAAAGAAAAAAAAATGTGGAGAGAATAATCCCAACAGGCTGTCTTGTAGTACAAGTGTTAATTCAGTTTACTATTTTGAAAACTAACTATCATTTAAGCACAAAATACTTTTGCTTTGTAAGGCAAAGATTTTACGCTGCTCTCACCAAAAAGGAATTACCAATAATTAAAGGATAGAGAGTCAGTCATGGGGAATTTGGATGACCCCAAAATCAAGTACTAGAACACTCCCCCACCAGTTGTTTTCATCCATAAAAATGCACTCTCAAAACACACAATTTACGAGTTATCTTGTAACGTCACACTGCATTAACCATTACACAGAAGCATTGCGATGCTTTTGCTCAAAACAACATGAAAACGGAGGGGAGTTTGCTCAACACAACATGAAAACAGAGGGAAGATGCTATTTTTTTCCTGTTCTAAAATACCAAAAGCCCCAATTCTTGTTTCCACGTGGTATTACTAATGGATGTGGAAATATCTAGTATCAGCGTTAATTTGTTGTTTTATTATAATTTCTTTTTCACAAAGAGAGAGATTTACCAGCGTAGTCTGACTATACTATACCACTCTGGAAATATGAACAGTGAACGGAGTGTAGGTCCTCCTTTCCTATACTTCCCCTCTCTTACATAGCCTTCCCTCCCTCTTGTTCTCTGTTCAGTACAACTGGCACAGATCAGTGTTTCTTTTTCCTTTTCTTTTTTTTTAAGGTAGTATTCCTGTGTATATGCATACAGCACATGTAAAACAATTATTTAAAAATATGATTTTCCTTTCAAATTTTTAAACTGTTAATATATGTAAAATCCACTTTATCAAATAACCATCAGTTCCTGTCGCTTTAGATAAAATTAAGGCTTCTAAAAAACTTCCTACTGCTTCCTGCTGGTTCTCAGTAGAATAAAGTGAAGCTAAGCTACCCTTGAAAACAGCGATGCTTAGTGCTTTGAAGAAAGCAAGTAACGATATATTTTAGTCCAAAACACAAATACAGTCTCTCAATTGTCCCAGCTTATCTTGCTTTGGTTTGCATGGCAGAGCAACCCGAGTCCCTCAGCTGGATTCTTTTAAGATGAAACAAAACTAAAAGATGCACTCCATGAGTATACCTCATGTGCACCAGGAGATACCTGGAACTCAATCCACTGGGCGATACTCGGGCTAGTCTAAAATACCACCCTAGATTGTGTATCATGTGCACATAGAGATGTCATCACCAACCAGTTTCCTCTACAATACCATCCCTACTTGCCCATGCTACAGAGATGCAAATTAAGAACAAGCAAACGCCTCGGTCCTACTGTAAGCAGTGACAGAGGGTGGCTATTCTGAAACAGGATGGCCCTTGATAGTCTCCTTCGAAGGAGGAATTTTCAAGGGGGAGGGGGGAGAGAGAGACTGACTGTTCCATTATTCTCAAAGATCTAAATCTGACTCTTCAGTCCCTTGATCCACAAAGAATTTCAGGAAGCTTTACTTTCTTAAAAATGCCAAAGCACCTCTTTATTTTTGTTATTAAAGTCATTAGAGGCAAAAAAATAAAAATCTAATTTAGGACACCATATTTCTTAAGACAACCAACACAAATGAACTGAACTAAAACTAACAGATTCTTGCATATTTTAAAGAACAGAGGTCTATCTTAAATGATTCTGTATTGTTAACTGTAGCACATATTTTATATACAATGTGGACACCACTTAACTACAAGAATACCTCTACAATTCTGTAACAAAACCATAAAAGGTTCTAATGATATTATTCCATTTTTATACATCAGTTCCAGTCATGGGCAGCCAATTACTGTACTGCAATTAATGTTACATACTGAAAGGCAAGTTCATCAGAAGAGCAAGCACAACATAAGCAGACATTTTAGAAACCAATGTTGCGAGTACGATTGAAACTGCAAAGTGTAATGATTTGAATTTAAATATTTTGAAATCATTCTATGAAGCATATTTTTGAAAGATACTTTCTAAATTCATGTGGATAAAAAACCCCTTGTTACGTATCGCCTCAAAAAGTTTTAAAATTTAGTGTTTTGTAATCATTAATTATATAGCATTAATTGCTGACCAATTAACTATAATGCTAGTCCTGAAGGGGACACACTTAAGAATTTCCAAAACTGAAATGTAACATCTAAACCTCTATCAAAGCACCTTTTGTTGCCAATATATGTAAAACACGATGAAGACTTCCTTTAATGTACAGAACAAGAGGTTTTGAAAGAGCATGATTCTCCATGTTAGCACTTTCAAAAATGTCAAGTCATGAACTGTAGTTTTTTATTCTGAAGGCAGCTTATTTAGCAATTGTATCATGATCATTAACCAGTTCCTGAAAGTTAATTTTAAAATGCATCTTCTCCAAAGCAGTTCTCTTTCTCATCTCCTTTAGATAAGAATATACAATAGCAATACCATTCCCTCCTCTTCCTTTTAGAAGATACACTTTTCACACTGGTAGCATTTAAAGTTAGCATCTTAGCATGAAGTATTTGAGATTCTTAGTTTGACAATACTAGTGTTGTAAAGCCAGGAAGAATGATACCATTAAGCCAATTCATAGGCATGTTCAGACAGAGAAGAAGATGCCAATGGGGAAAAAATAAAAATAAAACTAAGTATTAAGTTCCAGAAAGGTGGAAAGCTCTGTGGAATACAGATAAAGGCATATTAAACATATGTAACAGGTAACGTAAAACAGGAGGGCTTTTTGGACCACTGTCTGAAATAAGGTATTTTAGGACATACTAAAAAAAGTATGGACCTACCTAAATTACTGTGTATACACATAAGAGGGTTTGCTGTATTTCCTTCTACATGTTTAATACGCTACTTTGTTTGTGTATTGAGGCTATTTTTATACATTATATTCAGATTTACCAATAAGTGCATTCATATGTATACCAAAGTTGGGTTACCAAAAAAAAAAAAAGGTTTTAAGTTTTCATAGTGAAAAATGTTATGAAAAATGATTTATCAGAAGGTCTAAGCTTACTTTGCTTGCATCAACTGATTTTTAAAAAGCTAAGTACATGTTCCTTCCATGGGAACCAGACAAAAAGTCTCAAAGTTAGACGTTCAGACAAGCAAAACTATATGCAGGCAAGAAAAGTATCTGTAGACCTAATCTGATTGGAAGGAATCTAGAGATACTCAAGTTATTCTTTTATCTGAGAGTACTAAACCCATGTAATGGTACGATGGTGCTGTTTGGGACAATCCCCGTTCTCTTACACCCACATGCTTCCTTTTGCTGGATCTAGCAATCACACAGCTGCAAGGCAGCCATAATGAGATGATTTGGTGGAAAACTAACTCAGTAACCAACAGACTTTTCTTTATTGATCAGCGAGCTTGTCTAGACCTCGTCTCAGCTGCACCACTGCAATACAAGGGAAGAGGAAGGAGCACATGGCCAAGGGCAGGTGGAAAGCCAGCCTCCACCTCTCACAGTAGCCAGCAGTTGACATTAACTTCAAATGCAACTTCATACCCTCAACTCATCACTGGCTGCAGTAAGAGCAAGGAGAAAATTTTAGGTCTTTGAAGGCCTGAAGTAAAGGATGGACATGATTTTTTTCTTGAATTGCCAGTCACCCTAGACTTTACCCGATACAAACTATACAAGTTGCAACAGCAGCTGGAAACCTAGGAGAGCCTGTTTATTTGAGCAGCTTTACTGTAAGCAGCATACAAAAACTAAAGATGAGGAGAAGCTAGGTCTATCTAGATGCTTCAACTAAGGCCAGAAAATTAACTGTATTTTATATCATCTTTGCCAATAAGTGTTTAAGTTTCCCAGCTAAGTCAGAACATTTAAAGGTTTGCAAACTTCAGAGCTGCAGGGAGATACTAATAATAGTGAAGAGACTAAGTTTAGAGCTCACGATCTCCAAACTGTGACTAAATACTTCAGAATTGGTTATTTTTGGTCAAAACACATGCAAAAAGTTCAATCTGGGAAATAAGCCATAGTACAGGCCTTCCGGTAAAATAAACTTAAAAATAAATTAATTCATTGCTGCTTGTGTTGAAAATTATTTTATTTAATCTAAGGAAGGATTTGGTTTTCTACTTGGCAACCATAAATCTAAAAAATTAAACCACACTTGTCAGGATCATGCAGTTTTTGACTTGCAAATTGCATTCTTGATTTACTCATTAGACATTTTTAAAACATACTTTGGAGATAGGCACCAAGACCAGTGTTCTCAAAACTTCCTCAGTCTAACTCAGCTCAAAGCAACATAGATGCAAATTTTCTACCATTTTCTGATTAAAAGATGGCTAGAAATGCATTTGGTATATCTGAAAATCTTACTCATTTCCACAGAAATACAGTTAAAGAAAAAAAACAGTACTTGAAATGAATCAAACCCTTTTAGTCAGATGCAATAAGAGGGGAAAAAACTACAAAAAAAATGAAAGACTGACTCAGCAAGGTATTTCTGAAGATCTGATGCGGTAACTATAAAGAACCTGGCACCAAAGCACAGTAATGGAGGGATGAAGAACATGTGTTAACGTACTGCCAGGATTCACGCCAACACGTAAATAAAAATGCCCTTGGTTCCCTTTATTGAAAGATTAACAATTTCCTGCAATTTGAACAAAACATAAGAAAGTTCTTGATGAGGACAGCACTCCTGTCTAGGGTAAAAGCGCTTCTGATTGGACTCAACAGGAGTGCATAGCTGTATATAACGAGCAAAGCAATACATAAAGACAGCATG